TTTATTTTTTATGCTTTTATTCGATCGGTCCGACGATGGGAAACTTTTACCCTTCGTGAGGCCTCAACCTATTCTCAGATCCGGTTTCTGCACAGGTGTCTTGACAAAAACGTATTGCCGAAGAGTGTTCGATACAAAGCCCCGCTGAATTCGGAGGCGGCGAGACTCGCAAGGCCTCAAACTGGCAAGATAATGTTCATTCAAGCTTGCCACGCGAGGCTACGCAAATACCACCAGATAACTGAACAGAAGAAGACCAAATGCTGTGCGATCACGGGCGATGACAGCACAAAACAGCTTCAGCAGAGAGTGCTTGGACAAGCCCACGACAAACAAGCAATTCATGAAGCAGCCCTGCAAAGCAAATTCGCAAACTGCAGAATCTAACGTCATCTAGAAACGACATACTGGTGCAAAACCTGTCGTCGAAAGAACTGACGAAGGATCACATACAGGTTTTACAGCACGAAGCCTCATTCAACACGGCTGATGCTTAAACTGCCAACATGATTGCAGCTGTAGAATTAGTCATCAATCAGACAGAAGCAACAGAGGAGACAAAGGACTTTATCCGACACCAGGTATCGTCCCTCCTGATGGCTCATCAACCACGGGAAGTACTCACTAAGATCGAACGGATTGCATTAAGAGCACTCAAGGCGGACCGGCACATCGTCATCGTACAAGCCGACAAGGGACGTTCTACGGTCATAATGGATAGAACCGACTACCTTCAAAGGCGAAGAATTCACTGGAGGATCGCCAGTTTTATGTTCCTTGTGAAACTAATCCCATCAAAAGGATGACACGCAAAATCAACTCCACCCTGTTGGCACTAGAGAACTCTGGTGCAATAACGTCGTCTGACCGACGCACGGCGAGGGCACAAAAAACGGCCTAGGCCCGCTTCTATGGCCTCCCCAAAGTGCACAAGGAGGGCGCTCCTCTCCGACCCATCGTGTCCCTGAAAGGCACTCCAATCTACGGACTGGCAAAGTGGCTGTTTAGGTGCCTTAAATTTCTGACCGCTGATTCGGAGGCCACGGTCCGCTCATCAACACAATTCTTGGAGAAACTTAAAGGGGTAAGTCTCCTGCAAAGTGATATTATGGTTTCCTTCGATGTCACGTCTGTTTTTACTTCTATACCTCAGGATCTGGTAGTCGAGACCGTCGACCTACTCCTACGAATCAAATGCGATGAGACGGAGCATCACCTTGCACACACCCAAGTTCTACAGCTCCTGAAGTTCTGTCTCAGGACGTACCTCAGGTTTTACGGAACAATCTACGAGCTGGTGAAGGGGACACTAATGGGTCCACCGATTTCGGGACTCATAGCCGA